GTCGACGTCGCTGCAAGCGGCAAAGGCTTGACCGCACTCTGCCTGGGCCGTCGCGGCCACGGCGTTGGTGCACTCAGCGAGCCGACGTTCGAGGTCAATGACAAGCATCTCGCGCATGGTCGCCGACGATGTTTCAAGGATCTTCTGAAAGTAGACGAGCAAGGGTGTTCGGAAAACGTTGCGAACGAGCTTCTTGTGATCGCCTTCGCTCGACGCAATCTTCTGCCGCAGCACTTGTTGGTTGGGCCCGCTCGTCTCACGCTGGAGATTGATGCGCAGCGCTGACTCGACCGCAAAGCGCTGCTGGAGCTGCAGAACGTCCGTGCGGAGCGTCGCAAAGTCCGTTTCCGCCAGAACGCTCTCCAAATTGCCAAGCCCAACCGGCTCGCTCAGCACATAGTCGGGCAACGCCAGCTTGTCAACTGGCAACCGCGTCGGCGGCGTGTCGGCCTCGTCGTCATCGAGGATGTACGCTGTGATGCGCTCGTACGACGAGGTCATGGGACTCGCCAGCGCCACCGTGAGGACCTTGCCATCGTCGCCAAGAACTTCGTCGTCCTCGTCGTCGTCTGCGATGCGCCAGTGCAACACCGTGCCGTGAGTCAGCGTCATCCGCACCGGCGCGGACCCCGTGTCGATCACCAACACGTCGGCAAACTGCGCAATGAACGGCTCCAGGAGCATGTAGTCACCAATGACGTGGAGCACCATGACCGTCGTGTGCACGGTGTTCTCCTCGATAAAGCCCCAGCCGAGCTCGGCGACGACCGGGAGGTTCGTGACGTTGTTGCCGTTCGTGCGGTCGAGGCAGTGCACCGAGTCGACGTGGAAGACGTTCTTGATCCAGTCTTTGGTCGCGCTGCTCTTTGTTGGCCGCTCCGAGACGACCGCCACGCGCTTTACGGACGTCTCGCGTATGAGCGACGCCTTGCCTTGCACGACGAGCGTCTCGACCAGGCTCAATGCGCTCGCTTCCGACCGAAAACCAAAGTCGCTCGACGGCACAAGAAACGGCACGAGGCAGCGCCGGTCAAGAAGAAGACGGTACACCTCGGCGCGCGCCGTCGGCGTCAGCGAGTCGACAAGCGTCAAGAGTGCGTCCAACACGGCGGGGCCTTGGGGTGCCTCTTCCCGCGCGGACCCGCGACGCGCGATGCGCTTGCCCTTGGCGCCCGTGGCAGAGCTGTACAGCTCCTTGGCGAGGCTTAGACGGTGCTTGAGCGTGTACCAAATGAGCCCAGGGAGGTCCGTCGTCTTGTCGGGCTTTGCGACGACCGTCAAGAGGTGGCTCATGGGGCGTTGACTCGTGTTGTGCCCATGACTGCCGGCAACATGGGCATGTTGATCAACGCTAGGTGCAAGGTGCTGGTGCATGACCGCGTCATCGTCCGAGCTGTCGGCAGTAGCCATTGCCCCGTTCTCAAGCGCGTGCAGCATCGCTTCAGCCATCATATGCACATGTTCTTGGTTGAGATTGCTCTCAAAGCCATCCTTCAGATAGCCGTACCCCTTGGCGACGTCCCAAAGCGTCGCAAGCGCAGGGGTTGACGCCGCACCGAGGTTGGCAAGGAGGAGCTCCCCAATGCGATTGGTGAGCAGTGGCAAGTCGGGCATCGATGAGGCACGAAAGGCACGGAGGACGATCCTCATGGCGACAGGGACGTCGCGCACGTCCAGGTGCGGCACGTTCCACTCAAAGACGGACGTTGTCAACTTGCCAGCCATGTTTTCGAGTTGCGCCAGCTGTGCGGCGCGTTCCAGCGCCCCAAGCACCGTCACATCGAGCACAATCGACGTCTGCACGAGCAGCGCGTCAAGAACGTGGTGGTACATGGCACCCAGCTCGACCATCGCCATAATGTCGTTGCGCGCGACGAGCCGGCGCAAAGCGTCGTGCATTCGCTGGTCACGGAGGCAGTCGGGCGTCAACGTCAAGCCAAAGGCCGAGTCGAAGCGAAGCGCGAGCAAAATGACGTCGACCAATGCACTGGCGTCGACGTTGTCATGGGCCAAAACGTCGAGCTGCGAGTTCATCGTTCGGACGGCATCGTCCGCGCTGGTGATTGGCATGTGCTTGGCGTCCGTGCCAAACGCAGCGTTGTGCAGCCACACGTCGACGTACACATCCCGTACGGCGGCGACCACGTCCGCGCTCGTTTCACGCGTCGACTCGACCAGTTCCAGCCACGCCTGACAAACAAGCGTCGCGGCATGCGCCAGACCAGCATGTTGTGCAAGGAGGTGCCAGACACCGACACGCTTCGTCGGCCGGTCAATAACGTGCCATGTCGAGCGATCGGCGACCAGCAGTTGCTGGAAAATCGCGTAGCTGGCCGCGTCGGGGCCAGTGCACTCGATGCGCGTCGTGATTTCGCACGGCGTCTTGTCCGCATCAAAGAGGGCGCTTTCGACCGTGTCGAGGCCACGCAGGAACGTAAACTCGCTGTAGCTGATAGAGAGGTCGCGAGTCGCCGGATTCGGGCAGGCGGCCTTCACGATATGGACAGCCGCTTTTGACGCCGCCTTGACGTGCACCGTCTTCCACAAGATACCGCCGACGTGAAAGACGCCGGTGTGCACGTGCGACCCATAGTCGCTCAGAAAGTCTGTGGCCGCCTCGACGCTCGTCACGGCGGCCGCGTCGGCGAGCGCCTTCTCCGAGAGCACCATGTCGGCCGCGTTCAAGCAAAACGACTTCATCGGCACAAACGCGTAGGTCAAATGTGCAACGGAAGCGCAGCGCGGAGGAAGCGTGTCGCCGTGATACGCCTTGGAGTCGACGACCGCTGTTCGGCCCGACGTGGTCATTGCGGCTCGGAACGATGCCACGGCGGTCACATCGTTGAACCACGCATCTTGGATTTCCGTGTCGAGGGTAGGCGCTTCCAAGTGGCACTTGGTTGGTGGCTGCAAGATCGTCATTTCGGCGACCGTGGAGGAGCTTGCAAACCCAAAGCAATGGCCAACAAGCGCCGACCCACCACTTGCACGGGCCACGACTTGGTCGTCCGTCGGCGCGGGGGACATGCTCGACACCGCGAAGCTCGTCTGCGTGAGCATCTTGTCGAGGACGGGGAGGCGCGTGAGCAGCGTCGTCGTATCGCGGAGCTTCTTGGCGTCCACGATCCACTGCATGAGACCCATCTCCTTGACGAGCGCGTTGAGGCGGGAAGCCGCGAGGTTGATCTCTTCCTGGTCGTCGGCGCGGATGGCAGCCTGGAGGTGGTAGGAAGCCTCGACCGCGCCCTCCAAGGTCTTCTTGAGGCCGACGTCTACCTTGGGCGAGGTCGTCATGCTGGAGGGAAGGATCGAAAATGATGAGCCAATAGAAACTTCAAGCCTGCCCGCCCTTTGACTTCGAACTACGGAAAAAGCAGGCCATGTGGTCAGCTTCGAACTTCGAGTAGAATTGTCAAGATCGCCCTGTCCATGGCGGCCCCATCCCTGACGACAAGCGGCGCACAAAAATCATCCGCAAGCTCATTGAATTCGATAACGCTACCCGCATTATTAGTGCGCTGTGGTGCAGCAACGTACTCCTCTTCCTTCGGCTTGTCTACCCATGTCGATCCTTTTGAACCCCACTACCGGTACCGTTCTGCTCGACTTGAAAGATATCATCAACGTCGACTGGTGTTGCGTCGGATTGTGGCGCTGACCGACGAACTTGCCCGATCATTGAAGCATGCTGGGCAGAACGCTGGAAGACTTGGTCGTCATGGACTGCTTCAATTGACATTTTTGTGAGTACTGGTATGAACACGGCGGCCTTCGACAGCGGTTCGGTTCATGCAGCGGTTCATGTACGTTATTACCGGATATGTCCGGATGTCGAATATGTAAATGCACCTTCGTCTCTCATTGTGGTTTGGCAAGCAGCAACTTCCTCTCAAGTCACAATGTCCTGGACACAAGTCGCATCGTTGGAGCCCATCGATCGCCCCTTTCCGTGCCATCGCCTCTCACACTTTACCAGCAGAGTGAGACTCGCTCTCTCTCTGCCGACGTCAACCGATTTTGTTCACGTCGAAGTTCGAAGGCGTCTTTATCGTAGTTCGAAGCAGGAGATTGCGCGAACGATGTTTGTTCCCATTCACGCGCTCCGCGATGCTGGTCGACGCTGGCCTGACGCAGACCTTGGAGGAGGCGATCAAAGCTTCCCATGACCTTCAAGCCGCCATCCGCGCGGTCGACAAGGGCATGATCGTCCTCGCGGCTTCCCGCTTCAACGCGCCGGTCAAGGTCATGGGTCTCACGCAATGGACCGTTGGCGAGAGAAAGATTGGCAACCCCTCGACCTTGCTCGACCGCCTCCAAGTGCTCGACACCATCCTCCTGCAGACGAGTGCGGGTATGGCCTCCATCGACACTGCGCCGAGTGACGACCAGGTCGTGGCATGTGCAAGTGGTGGCGCTGCACTCTTTGGCCATTGCGTCGGCTTCTCGGGGCCTGAGAGCATCGAGATGGCGGTCTTGCAGCCGCCGACCACGTGCAAGCTCCAAGCGCCGACGTGCAGCACAGATATCGCAGACGCCTGGTTCGAGAATGCGTTCGAGGCAGCGCAATTCCGCAAGGCGATGTCGGTCCACGGCCGCACGGCGGTCTCTGGCGCGAGAGAGCATGACGTCAAGTCGTTGCCCGCGTCGGGCGCGTCGATCGCCTGCTCGACATACGCGTACGTGCCGATGAAGTCGTTTTTCTTGGACGCCCCGGCCATGGAGCTTGCGGAAAAGGCGCTCGCCGATGCCAGCGACTTGACGACTGTTGAAGCAGCCAAGTATTTTCTCTGCGACTACGGTTCGCACGTGCTTTGCGGTGTCTTCCACGTCGGCGGCGTCTTTTCGAAAACAGTCGAGGTCGAGGCGACCGCCGACGTGGACATCAGTACGCTGGTGAGCGCGTGTGCCGACCCGACGGCGCGCGACCTCTCGATCAACTACAGCAGCTTTGCCTATGGCTCGAACATTGACACGCGCCAGAGCACGCTCTCGGACGACAAGAGAACGCCGTGCGAAATCACGACGAGCATCGAGAGCACGGGGCCCGACGCGGCGAGCTACACGATCTTTCAGCAGCGGCTGCTCGCGGATCGCTCGACATGGCACTTGATTGACCGGCCGACAACGCGCGTCGGAGTCTGGGATCTGCTTGATGCCGCAGGTCTCGAGACCGCGGCCAACCTTGTGCGGAGCGCATGGCTGGAACTTGTCGCCTCCAGTCGGGTGTCGACGCCGGACGTTGCGGCCGCTGTGCGAAGTGTCTACGTCGCCATGTGGCAGCGCAACCCTGCGTTTGGGAGCGACACGAAGGACCAGAACATTGCTAGCGCCGATGAAGCGACCCTCGCCGTCCAGCAGCAGCTACGTGTGGTGGCGCAGGCCGACGGCCGAGCTCTTGTCGACGTGACCTTGCTTGCGCTGCGCTCCGACGCGGCCTTTGGCTTGACTCTGACGGCCGACTGCTTCCGTGACGAGTGCCTCCTCGTCGCCTCGCGCCGTCTCGTTGCGACCGATGTCGCCGTGGCGATGCTGCAGCTCGGGACCATGTACATGCACGTCCTTTACGCAGTGCTAGCACAAGAAAGCGTCAACCTGGACCCGACGTTGCACGAGGCTCTGCAGCGCGCGGCGCAGCTCGCAGCACTCGAGCACGAGGCAAACAAGCTCACGGATCCAAGTGTCGGTGGGACGTGCCGCGCTTGGACGTCCGCGACGTGCCACGGGGCATGAAGATCATTCTCGTTGCATTTCAGACCATGCCATTGCTCAATTGTGGGCTTATGACGTCGCGCATCGGCAACCTTCTCGTCGTCAACCTATCGGACGCGTCAGGCAGCTAGGCTGAGCTGTGGGCCGTCGCACAACGGTTCGACTGCCACGATGACGGCGTTATTACCGCCAACCTTAACCCCGAGCATGTTCAAATGATGGCCGATGCGATGCTGGCGGTGCTGAATCACGATGCAGCGGCATCTGGCGAGAGCTCCGACGACGAAGGACCGATGCCATCGACTATGTTGGTTCCCGTGATCCATGAGCGCGCTTCCGTTGCTGAGCAGCAACATCTGTCCAGTACGCGTCAACAGCACCCAATGAGCCACCTCTTGACGGTCGTCGCCAAGCCCGACAAGACGACGGACCTCCCTGGGCTCATTTGGTACACGCTCAAGCACCGTCTAAGCCTCGCCAAGGAGCTGTACAGCTCTGCCTCGGGTGCCAAGGGCAAGCGCGTCGCGCGTCGCGGGTCCGCGCGGGAAGAGGCACCCCAAGGCCCCGCCGTGTTTGACGCACTCTTGACGCTTGTCGACTCGCTGACGCCGACGGCGCGTGCCGAGGTGTACCGACTTCTTCTCGACCGGCGCTGCCTCGTGTCCG